CCTTTGTCAAATATTAATTGAGCATATTGGTTCGGGTTGATTTCTGGGTTCTCTATTCTATTCCATTGATCTATATGTCTGTTCTTGTGCCAGTACCAGGCAGTTCTGAGAATAGTGGCTTTGTAATACAGCTTGATATCTGGTATTGAGATCCCACCTACTTTGTTCTTCTTTCTCAGGATTGCTGCAGCTATTCGGGGTCTTTTTTTATTCCAGATAAATTTTTGGAGAGTTCGTTCTAGGTCTGTGAAATATGTCGTTGGTATTTTAATAGGAGTATGTTGAATTTATAGATTGTTTTGGGTAGTATGGACATTTTAATGATGTTGATTCTACCAATCCATGAACATGGTATGTTCTTCCATCTGTTTATGTCTTCCTCTATCTCTTTTATATTGAGAACAGCTATGTGGCAATTGCGAATAAGAAAAACTTTCATAAGATTTTCAAATATAAAGGTTTTTACTGTTCAATATAGTTCTACCAAGAAATTAATGAATAAATGGCTGAACTAATGTCTAATTTTAAAATATTTCAATTGCCATTTGACAGTTATTTGGGAGTTAGATTTTAAGAGATGTTTCACTATATATATGGGAAAGCAATGAGCAAACAATGAATTGCATCCTTATTTTTGGTTCATGATTGAATTTAGACCCTTTAGTTTTAAAACATGAGGTTTACAACCAGAAATTTTATCCTATTGGGCAATACTAATAAGAAGTGAAACATTAAAGGCATCATAAAGCAATATATGCCATCTAAACAGATGTTTTCACTTGGCTTACCTCAAATAACAAAATTGTGTATGTCCTTATTAAACTCAGCTAAGGTAAGAAATGAGCCAATAACACCAACTTTTATTTTATTAAATGAAAAATGACAATAGATTACATTATGATGTCACTTCCTATCCCTTCAAGATAATATAAGCATGGAACTGCTGTAGATTTCAGAGTGATATAAGTAAAAAATGGAACACGGACTCAGAGTAGCAGGGCACAGTGGGGAGGGGGGTGGGGGCTTTAGAATAAAAAAAAATAAAAAAATGGAACAGCTCCTAAATATGAAGGATTCCACAAGGCTTGGATTCTATACCTAATAAGAATTGTCAAGTTACTATTTACATTTACATGTTGTCTTTACAGATTTTTTGCATAATGGCTATATTAGTTTCCTGGTGCTTCCATAGGAAAGTATCACAAACGTGTGGCTTAAAAAAACATAAATTCATTTTCTCATATTTCTGGATGGTAGAAATCTAAAATCAAGGTATTGGCAGGGTCATGCTCTCAATCAAGCTTTTAGGCAAAGATCTCTTTCCTATTTCAGTTTCTGGCAACCCCATGTGTTTCTTGACTTGTGGAAGCATAAATATAACTTATTTCCATCTTCATATGGCTCTTCTCTTTCTATTTTATTTTCACTTTTGTTTTTTCAGAGTTTTCAGATTTAGTAAATGACATCAGAACATTTATATTCATTAATGAATACGTTAGTCATATTAGCTTAATGGCCTACCTTACTGAAGAATGGCCTCAGCCTGGTAGGCGTGGCTCAGTGGTTGGGAGTTGACCTATAAACCAGAAGATCACAGTTCAATTCCCGGTCAGGCACATGCCCGGGTTGTGGGTTTGATCCCCAGTGGAGGGTGTGCAGGAGGCAGCCAGTCAATGATTCCCTCATATCATTGATGTTTCTATCTCTCTCTCCCTCTCCTTTTCTCTCTGAAATCAATAAAAAAAAGCATGAACACATTTTAACTTACCTAATTGAATCTTTAATGTCCCTATATTTAAATAAGTTCACCTTCAGAGGTACTAGGGAATAGGATCTCAATCTGTCTTTTTGGAGGGACATAATTCAACCCACAACAATCCACCCTAAAATTAATATATTTCCCATGTGAAAGATATATTCATCTTAAAATATCTTATAATTGTGATTCATCTCAGCATCACTCTAAGTTCTAAATCTCATATAAATATGATCAACTCAAAATGTCCCAAATCTTATGTTCTAAATCAAGTGTAGGTGAGATTTCTCTAAGTATGATCCATTCTGGAACAAAATTCCTATCTGTGGACCTGTGAAACCAGTCATCTGTTTCCAAAACATAATGTTAGGAAAGGTATAGGATAGATATTCCCATTCTCAAAGGGAAAAATTGGAAAGAAAAAAAAAGTGTTGTGATGACCAATTAAGTCTAAAACCCAACAGGGCAAATTCCATTAGATTTCAGTTTTTTAGAAATATCATTAGTGATTTTATGATCAATCCTCTTGGCCTGCTAGGGTGGAGATCCCGCCCTTTTGGCCCAATGAGATCCCATTAGGCTCAGCCTCTGCATGTGTGATTCTGCCCTTGGAGCCATTCTCTCTTTATCCTGTCTCTGTCCATTTCAATAAAAGGCTGCAGTTTTTCTGCTTGTATCACATCTTCAAAAACTTGTTTTCCTTCCATGGATATCAAGGGGATCCACCCCATTAGACACAAAGTTCTCCACAGATCTTTCCTAGAAATCCCCATCTCTATTCCTGGCTATTGCTAAGATAGGTGATTGGATCCATAAGTCACATAAGTTCCATGACTAAACTCTTTGCAAATGTTTGTCCAGCTACAATCTTGGTCCTATTTTCATAGCACACTATCTGGATGGGCTGCGAATTTTCCAAATCATCAAGTGCTGGTTCCTTTTTGCTAAGCAGTTTCTTTCTCAGTATATTTCTTTCTTCTTATATTTTATTATAAGCAGCAATGAAAACAAATTGCACCTTCTTCAGTTTGGAAATCTCTTCAACTAAATATTAAAGTTCATTGATTACCAGTTCTATTTTTCACACAATGTAGCACATAATTCAGACAAGCTGTCTGCCATTTTATAACAATGATCACTTTTTCTCCAGTGTCCAATAACAGGTTCTTTATTTCCACCTGAGACCTCAAGAGAAGCAACTTTAACATTCATATTTCCAACAACATTATATATATATATATATATATATATATATATATATATATATGTGTGTGTGTGTGTGTGTGTGTGTGTGTGTAATTGTATGTATATAGTAAGTTATATATATAATATATATAATTAATATATATTATATATTTTCTTTCCTGAGACAATGATAGCTTTCTCTGCAGCTCTCCTTTCTGAACCTTCACTAAAATTGCCTGTAATGTCCATATTTCTACCAACAATCTCATTAAGGCAATTAAATTTATTTATTTTGGAAATTAAGTGCTTCAAAATCATTTCACCTTTTAGCCATTTCCCAATTCCACATTTTAAACCATTTGTTACAGAAGCACCCCACTAAAAACATACTATCTGTATGTTTCTTAAGTTTTCTGTGACAAAACGCTATAAACTTATATAGTTATGGAGGCTAGAACTTTGAAACTAATGTGTTGGCTAGGCTATGCTCGGCTAGGCTATCTTTCCTTTCCTCTTCCAGCTTTGGTTAGCCTCATTATCCCTTGGCTGTGGTCACACAATTTTTATCTGTCTCCAACTTCCTATGGCTGTCTTCTTTCTGAGTGTCTTCTCTCATAAGGACACTGATCATATGGGATTAAGGGCCTGTCTTATGCCAATAGAACTTCATTTTAACTTAACTAGTTACATTGTAATAACTATTTCCAAATACATTCACGTTCTGAGGTACTTAGACTTCAACATATCTTTTGGGAAGATACATTTCAATGCATAATTATGGATGAACTGTGATGTGAGTCTTAACAATGAACCATATTTCAGTGCTTTGAGTTATCCTCTTCTCATATGTATGGCTTTGTTAACATCATTTATGAGTGAATTTATAAATACATTTATAAGTTAATTATAAGAATTTTTAGCATGTATTTAAAAGTCATATTTGAAAAAAAAATTAGAGTTCAAAAGAGGTTTTAGCAGTGCGGATTACAGTAGGATGTTTTAGACATCATACAATCTAATGTGTCAGCTCAGAAGATAACATTTTAAGAGCAAGAGATGATTCAAGTAGAAGTATTTTTTTTATCAGAGATTAGTTTTTCAAACATTATAAGAATTGAACCCACATCTTCAGATTTGTTTTTCTCTTCCACAAGATTAGTGTATTGGTTTTCTTTTGCTGTATAAAAAATTACCAAAAACTTAATGGTTTAATACAATATTAGTTGGGTTTTTTGTTTGTTTGTTTGTTTTGTTTTGTTTTAAATCTCAAAATTCTGTAGGTCAGAAATCTTTCAAAGCAAGGCTGGGATCACTGGCAGGCTAAAATCATGATATTGGCCAGCCTGAGTCCTCACCTGTAGGCTCTGGGGAAACATCTGCTTTCAAGCTCATTCAGGTCATTGGTTTCTTATAGTTTTAAACCGAGGCTACTGTTTTCCTTGCTGACTGTACATTGTGGGCAATTCTCAACTAAATAGACGACCCGTATTCCTTGTCAGGTCCATCACTCCAGCATCAGCATGTTGAATCTTTCTTATTTTAAAAATTTCTGACTTCTTCCTCTATGACTAGCCAGAGAAATATCTTTGCTTTTAAAGTGCTCATGTGATTAAAGCAGGATTCTCTAATAACCTCTCTGTTTTAAAGTTAACTGTGCCATATAATCTAATCATGGGAGTAAAATTCATTACATTTATAGTCTGATTATTTGTGCAGTAAATGTGCATTTTAGGGGATAATAAATACTAGGTTCACCTTTAGATTTTTTTGCTCTAATTTAGCACCTGATTTTGTTTAAAAAAAGGAGTGAACAGAAGGAATGGATTCATTATGATCTTCTTTCTTTTTATAATGACATTTTTATTATATTTTGAAAAAAAATGTTTGTTATGTAAAGTAGTATATATTTACATATTATTATATATACAATATGTATATACGTAATTAAAATCTCAAATGAACAGCCATGCACACGTTTTGCAACCTAGGCAGTAGAACCTTACTAATACCTTGCATAAATTTCTATGGGATGCAATCTTTTGAGAGTTTCTCTTGTAATTTAGAAAAAAGTTAAGTATTGGCGCCCCTCCCCTGACTGGATCTTCAGGATGGCGCGTAGTATCTGAATGTAGGATATCACAATGGAGGAGACTGGTCCCACCAGCACAGATGCTGCCCCAGCCAAAACCATAATCTCGTTCATGTGGGTGTCTGCACAGGCAAGTTTGAGAACCGCTAGAATTTCACAGAAAAAGTGATTCACTTTCTGGGGTCCACAGAAGGGCAATGGTAAGAGTAGCACTGTATGTACTAGGGCCAGGAGGGCCCCTAAAGTCCAGGAAGTCACTGCCAGGGTGGTGCAGACTCTCCAGCTCACGAGGACAGAATATCGGAGAGGGTGGCAGATGGCCACATACTGATCATAAGACATTGCCACCAGGAGAAGACATTCAGTGCTAGCAAAGGTCAAGAAGAGGAAGGTCTGCGTCATGCAGCCAGCAGAAGAGATGGGCGTGGCTGGACTCAGGAGGTTTACCAGCATCTGGGGCACCGTGTTGCAGGCATAGGACATGTCAACAATGGCCAAGTGTGAGAGGAAGGAGTACATGGGGGTGTGTAGTCGGGAGTCCAACCAGATGAGGCCCAGGATGATCCCATTGCCCAGCAGGGTGAAGGCATAGAACAGGGAGAAGAGCCCAAAGAGGAGCATCTGAGTCCTTGGGCTGAGGGGAAATCCCAACAGGAGGAACTCTGTGACCAAAGTCTGGTTTTCCCCCATTTTCCTGGGAAAGAGATAAGGGCACTCACATCTGAATGTGGGGGGGTAGGGGGATGGGAGGGTAATGACCAACCTGGTGGATCTGTGTCATTGTTTCTTTCCTCAGAAAACATCTTCCATGATATGTTTGTCCTGTTAGTCACTTACTACGTGAATACTATGCCTTACAAATAACACAGAAGGAAATTGTTTTTCACTGTGATAAACTAAATGCTAGTATTCTCTTACAGTGTTCAGTAAATCTTACCTGTATTTTCAAACTTTCACCACTGTTCACAATATGGTAACACTGCAACTGCCTTCACAGCCATGGATACTCCTGGTTGGTGTGATTGCATCAGAGGTTTGCCCGTGTGTGATCCCGCACCGAAGTGCACACAGAGCCACATGTGAGAATCTGGGCTATGGTCTTGTATCCATATCTGCACATGAGGATGGGAAGATGGACCAGGAGCATGTCAGAGACCCTATCAATGACCTCACAAATCTATGCCTTCATTATGTGAATTTCTTGTTAGCTTTGTAATTTTTACTGACAGAATAATCTTGAATTGAGAGAATGGTAAGCAGCTTGCCACACCTTGAGCTGGATTTAAAAGAGAGAACTTTGTCTTTTGACTTTTGTACCCACAGATGGTCTACTCTGATCGTGCTGTTTCATGATCGGATATTACCCATCACCCTCTTATCCTCTATATCAGTGATGGTGAACCTATGACACGCATGTCAGAGGTGACACGCGAACTCATTTTTTTGGCTGATTTTTCTTTGTTAAGTGGCATTTAAATATATAAAATAAATATCAAGAATATAAGTCTTTGTTTTACTATGGTTGCAAATATCAAAAAATTTCTATATGTGACACGGCACCAGAGTTAAGTTAGGGTTTTTCAAAATGCTGACACGCCGAGCTCAAAAGGTTCGCCATCACTGCTCTATATGAATATTTATATTCTATACCTGCATGTGTGTGCATGATGTATATGTAAGATATAGAGTTATATATGTACACATGCACTTGAATCCTTATTATGTGCAAGTGTGCAAGGTACTTGGTATTTTCTATATTATCTTCTACTATATTTCACCAGTAAAAATGCTGGTTGAATATCTTAATGGGTCATAGCCCAAGATTTTAAAAACCCAAGTCTAAAGCTCTAACTATATACTCATATTCATAGAACCTCCAACATATTTTATAGCTTAACTCTAATATAAAGATATTTATCATGAACCTTTAAAAAAAAGTTAAGTATTGAGCTTATTGAGTGTTACTGGGACATATTTGATATTTGAAGTAAATATCTCCTTTAACCATAATTTGCTCTTAAGTATGCTCGAAAATATTCTCAATATTCCTTGATGCCCCTTAGAGCTGAGATTTGAAAACATTGGTATAAATTTTTTTTTAAATATATTTTATTGATTTTTTACAGAGAGGAAGGGAGAGAGATAGAGAGTTAGAAACATCGATGAGAGAGAAACATCGATCAGCTGCCTCCTGCACATCTCCTACTGGGGATGTGCCCGCAACCCAGGTACATGCCCTTGACCGGAATCGAACCTGGGACCTTTCAGTCCGCAAGCCGATGCTCCATCCACTGAGCCAAACCGGTTTCAGCATGGTATAAATTTTTAAGTTCTGAACAGTTCAGATAAGAAAAAACATTAGCTGGAAATGTTAAGGGGCTTTTTATAGCAGGCCAGAGATTTGATCTATTACTGAAAGAGTGATGAATAGTGCTTCATAATCAATAAGGCAGTGAAAAAAACCCACATGAAGAAAATACATTGAGAAATGGTGTAGACTTTGGAATAAATACTTCATATTTGAAGGATAATGTGTAGATTTCCCTTAGTCTTGTATTGGATAGTATTGAAAGAGATATATGCAAAAATAGTTTGGAGCCATATATTGAAGTACCTTAAATATGTACATATTGAGTTTGAAATTGTCTCAAAAACAGTGGGAGCCATTTTAGGTTTTTAATTATAAAAGGATATAAACTCTAAGAGAACAAGAATCAATGACTCTTGAAATCATCACTGTATCTATAATACCAGACATAGTAAGTGCTCAATGGATATTTATTGAATGAACAAATTATAAGATGGAAGAGAATATATTCAGGGAGATATTTTTGAGCCCATTCCATGAAAGACCTGGCCCAGAGAGGTAGTAGTGGGAATTAAAATGAAGATTTGGTAAATATGATGAACGCAACAGAAGACTGTCGTTGTACAAGAGCATCCTAAGTACTAGTGAAGTTAGCACTGAGGCAGGTGACTGGAGAATTTATTTTGGGTATTGAATTATTATTATGTACTGATATACAAGATGATGTGAATGCTTTGAGTAATGTGAGATCTGAGTACAGATACAGTATAGATTTAGTGGGTCCTTAACCTATTGCATTTTGGCTGACCCTGCCTGGGATAAAATAAACAATTACTGTCCTTTAAAATAGTGTCAGTTTATAAATTATCTGTGTGAATGTGTTACTGGGACATATTTGATATTTGAAGTAAATTAGGCATCAAGCCATGGGTTTTTGTATTTCTGCCAACATTGAAATCTGCTTCTGATTTCTTAAAAAAAGAAATAGCTTCAAATGTCTTGAGTGACATATAAACCACATCATTTCTTTTTAATATACCAGTAGAGGCCTTTCTAGTTTTAAAAAAATAATCTTTATATTTTTTGATATTTTCAGAAAATGAGTCGTTTAAAGACTAATTTAATATACAAGTTTAGGGATGATTATTCTCATTAATGAATTACCTGAATATATTAAGTCATTCTTTCAGCTATGCTTAGAGTATAATTATTTAAAATTTATTCAGGGCCATTATATAGATACTAGAGGCCCGGTGCACAAAAAATTGTGCACTCGAGGGGAGGGGGGGTCCCTCAGCCCAGCCTGTGCCCTCTCGCAGCCTGGGACCCCTCAGGAGATAATGACCTGCTGGCTTAGGCCTGCTCCCGGGTGGCAGAGGGCAGGCCTAATCCCTAGGTGAAGCCCCTGGTCAGGCTCAGAGCAGGGCTGATTGGGGAGTTGGGACGCCGCCCCCTGTCATGCACAGAGCAGGGCGGATCAGGAGGTTGTGATGCCACTCTCAGTCACGCTCAGGGTAGGGCCGATTCGGGGATTGGGGCACCACCCCCTGTCACACTCAAGACAGGGTCAATGGGGAGGTTGCGGCGCCACCCCCTTTCACACACAGAGCAGGGCCAATCAGGGGGTTGGGACGCTGCACCCTGTCACTCACAGAGCAGGGCCCATCAGGGGGGTTGGGGCTCCATACCCTGTCACGCACAGAGCAGGGTCGATCAGGGGGTTGGGGAGCTCCCCCCGTCACACACAGAGCAAGGCCGATCAGGGGGTTGGGGAGCTCCCCCCGTCACTCACAGAGTAGGGCCGATAGGGGAGTTGGGGCACCGCCCCCTGTCACACACAGAGCAGGTGGATCAACGGGGTGGGGCGCCGCACCCTGTCACACTCAGGGCAGGGCCGATGGGGAGGTTATGGCTCTATCCCGTCACACACAGAGCAGGGCCCGTGGGGAAGGGGGGGTTGGGGCACGCACCCTGTCACACACAGAGCAGGGCAGAACAGGGGGTTGGGGAGCTCCCCCCTATCAGGCACAGAGCAGGGCTGATCAGGGGGTTGGGGTGCCTTCCCCTGTCACGAACAGAGCAGGGCAGATAGGGAGGTTGTGGCCCCGCCCCCTGTCACACACAGAGCCGCAGGGCGATCAGGAGGTTTGTTCGCTGTCCCAGTCACGCTGATCCCGGTGCCGGGAGGCCTCGCGTCTCTGCTGATACCGGTGCTGGGAGGCATATTACCCTTTTACTATATAGGATAGAGGCCTGGTGCACTGGTCAGGGCCGGCTGGTTTGCCCTGAAGAGTGTCCTGGATCAGGGTGGGGGTCCCCACTAGGGTGCTTGGCCAGTCTGGGTGAGGGGCTGAGGGCTGTTTTCAGGCTGGCGGGTGACTGAAGCTCCCAACCGCTCCTTTTTTTCTTTTTTCTTTTTTTATTCTGGGCGAGCTTTAGCTCTGAGGCTTGGCTCCAGCTCTGAGGCCTCGGCTGCTGAAAGCAGGTATCTGGTTTGTTTGGGTTCTATAATCGAAACACTGTTTCAACTCCAGCTCTGAGATCCCGGCTGGCTGAAAGCAGGTTTCTGGGGTTTTGTTTAGCTTCTATATTTGTAACAATGTTTCAAACTGCAAGCTCAGAGGCCGGCAGTGGTAGGCGGGGAACGTTGGCTTCCTCCGTCTGAAGCAAGCAAGCCTCATGTTCGCTTCAAGCTGCCTGGCTGCCGGCCGCCATCTTAGCTGGCAGTTAATTTGCCTATCGCCCTGATTAGCCAATGGGACGTGTAGCGGAGTGACACCAATTTGCATGTTTCTCTTTTATTAGTGTAGACTAGAGGCCCAATGCACGAACATTCGTGCACTGGTGGTGGTGGGGGGTCCCTCAGCCTGGCGTGCACCCTCTCACAATCCGGAACCCCTCAGGTAGGGTCCCTAGGCCTGGCCTGATATCAGGGCCTATCAGGGCCTTCCTTCCCCCGGCTGCAGGCAGCTGGCCCCATCCCCACTGCTGCCACTGCTTGACATCTATGCAGTGCTGCCCCCCCTCCACTGCCACCAGTGGCCTCCCTCTGCAGGGGACAGGCTGGAGTGTGATGGCTTGGCTGGCCTGGGCCTCCCTCTTTCTTTGCTGGTTGGCGGGGCATGGTAATAACAGCAATCTCATAGTTTTGTTGTGAGGATTAAGTGAATTAGTGCATGTGAAATGCTTAAAACATGCCTGACATATATTAATTGCTCTATAAGTAAATGTTTTTTATTATTGTTACTGTTTGATTTTAGAAAAAATATTACTTTTGAGACTTTTTTAAAAGTTTCTCATGTTTCACATTTTTTGTGTTTGTGCCAGTTGTATACATGGTTAATTCAGGTTAATTTTAAAGTTGCAGCTTGCTTTTGAAAGG